TGGGCTACCGTATGTAGCCAGCAGCCAGCATGAGAGGCCAGCAGCCGCAGTGAGCGGCCGTCCAGAAGCCTGCGACTGATGTGTCTCGCCCGGGAAGAGCACAGTGATGGTGCCAACTTGGGCCAGTGAAGCAACGTCCTCCACAACTAGACTGAAGATCAAAAGGACAGCAACTTGTCTGTTCCCCTTCCCCCAACTCCCCAACGCTGTTCCCATCCCCCGATTCCCCAATAAAAATCTTAAAAAAAAAAAAAAGAAAGAATGACAGAAAACTTCCCTAACCTGGTGAAGGAAATGTACATACAAGCCCAGGAAGCCCAGAGAGTCCCAAACAAGATAAATCCAAAGAGGCCAACACCAAGACATACCATAATTAAAATGCCAAAGGTCAAATTCAAAGAGAGAATCTTAAAAGCAGCAAGAGAAATGCAGTTAGTTACCTACAAGGGAGCCCCCATACGACTGTCAGCTGATTTCTCAACAGAAATTTTTCAGGCAAGAAGGGAGTGGCAGGAAATATTCCAAGTGATGAAAAGCGATGACATACAAGCAAGATTGCTCTACCCAGCAAGGCTGTCATTTAGAATTGCAGGACAGATAAGGAGCTTCCCAGGCAAAAAAAAGCTGAAAAAGTTCATCACCACCACAACAATATTACAAGGACTCCTAGAGGGATTTCTTTAAGATGGGAGGAGGGTTAAGGATGAGTGGAAGGGGAAGGGATTAAGAAGAACAAATTTGTTGTTACACAGTAGTCATGAGGATGTAGGGTATAGCATAAAGAATATAGTCAATGGTATTGTAATAACTAGGTATGGTGCCAGATAGGTATTAGATCTATCAGGATAATAGATGAGAATGGGGTTGGGGGCAAGGTGGAAAAAGTGAAGGCACTAAGACATATAAATTGATAGTACAGTATGGGGAATATAATCAACAATGTTGTAAAACTCATGTAAGGTGCCAGATGGGCACTGGACTTATCCGGGGGATCACGTCATAGACTGTAGATGCCTGACCAATGTGCTATACACCTGAAGAGCTGATGTAGAACAAAACTGAATGTCAACTATAACTAGATATATAGGTATACATAGTCACAGGATGTGGAGTACAACATAGGGAATAGTCGATGGTATTGTAACAGCTATATAAGATGTCAGAGGGATAATAGCTTGGGGGGAAGATTATCACTTTATGAGAGGTTTAAATGTCTAACTACTACATTGCTTTGTACACCTGAAACAAATAAAAAATAAATTAATTAAAAAAATAAAAATAATAAAATGAGGATGATACTGGCAATGGCACTCACCTCTTATGAGTGTTGTGCAGTTTAAAGTACCCAGAATGGGGTGCGAATGCCATACAGGAACCATTGGCATGTTGTGGCCATAGACACGCCTCCTGTAAGATGTTCTCTTCTCCTAAAATGCACCCCATCCAACCGGGAAATTAACGAGTTGAGTTAAAGTGGCCTAGGTGACGTAATGCCATATTCTGTAGACCTTTGATTAAGTGTTTATTAATTTAAATTTTACCTTTAAAATTTTTTGAAAACAATATATTTTAATATTCATTTTAAAGATAGAGAGAAATAGGGCAAGAGCAGAGAATGTGGTTCAGGAACATACATATTTTTAAACTATTAGCTTCCTAGGGCTATCATACAAAGTACCACAAACTAAGTGGCTTAAGCAACAGAAATTTATTGTCTCACAGCTCTGGAGGCCGAAGTCTGAGATCAACTACAAAAAGGGATTTTGAAAACCCAGGGTAGAGTCCAGTCCCCTCAATGTCTCTGGACAAACTGAAGCCCAGGGGACAGCAATGTGCTGTCCCCGAGTCACAAGTAGGAAGACCAATCCTCTTGGTTTTCCTAGTGCTGAGAAGTGTTTGAGACACAGGACTTCCTGAGCTAAAAGTGAGCCATCTTGGAAAAACTGGGTGGTCACCCTAAAAGTTGGAGATGCCTTATTTTTCTTTGGCCAGTTCTCATTTTGGTCTGAGTTCATGAGGACAGAGTCACCTTGTTTGTGTCTCATGCATCACAATCACAGAATGATCTTGTCTGTGTAAGTGTGCTGTGAAATTGTGGATGTGCCACAAGAGATTTAGCTGACTTCCAGGTCAGCTCCTGCATGTTGAGGGCTAAATCTGTCTTTCTCAGATTAATGTCACACACAATCTTCTCACTGCAAGAGCAGGAGCCCTATTGGGGCCACAATAGCTGGGATTATTCTGTGTATTTCATGCATAAAGGATGTGACTCTCAGAAAGGCCCTATAACCTGACCCTGGTGTAGCTGGGATGACATCCACATGTCCAGATGGAGTTTCCATCTGCACTCACCTGCACACACACAGCAGTGCAGATTCTGGTGGGAGGGGAGAATCCACTCACCAAACTTTCTCTTTAATGACTTAGAGGGACCCAGGAAGCTTTCATTTTTCCAAAATCTCAGTCTAACCTTCTGCTAATGAGCATGGGGCCCCAAGGAGGTTCCCAGGAACCTCCAGAGATAGCAAAGCAAAGGGGCATCCAATTACCCAGCTCTCTCTCTCTGCTTCCTCAGTTCTTCCCCTGCTTCAGCTCCATCCTCAGGAGACTGAGGGAGAGACTGGAGGGGAAGATACAGAAAGAGGGAGATGGGAGGTCTTTATTCTCAAGGATACTGCTTGAGAAAGTCCTAGGATCCAAGACTTTCTACATGGACCTCCTTGGAATCATCTTCTTATTTGCCACTAAGTTTGAGAGCACCCTGAAAACTGTTTGTATGGTGTCCTCATGGAAGGAAAGGGTGAAGTTCCTGGATTAGACCCTGCTTGTGCCAGGTATGTGGTTGGGCATGTGAGAAGTGTGAGAAAGGATGTTACACTGGATACAGCTTTATATCTCCATGCATACACCCACCATCCATGCTTCCTCCCTTCCTTCCATCCATCATCCATCCACCCACCCATCCATCCTTTTCTCTCTGCCTGGCATGCTCTTCCCTCTCCTTTCTGGCCATGGTAATAGAATCACTTTTTTTCCTCTTAATGCACTTCCTTGGGAAGCATTTTTGCCCCCTCAGATTAAGGCAAGGTCCCTTTTACTCATGTTAGAAACTCAAATTCCTACAAGTGCTAGGCAGTTATTCCCATTATAGTATTCCCATTGTGCACCCTTGTCCTACTTACAGACATGTCCTCTTTCGACTCCTTCAAATGAGTGTTCAAGTTGGATGTCAAGTCAAAGGAGGAGATAAAGGTATACATACACGTGTTTTCTCCCCCCATTTAAAAATATTGTAGCCTATTCACTGTTCTTTCCTTCATTGTAGCATTCTCACTATTCTTGCTGTAATTACTGTCTTCACCAAACTCACTCTTCCTTCATTTTCATTTAACAATATCTTAGAAACCTATTTATATCAGCATAGAAAGCTCTCTTGTACTTGTCATTCTGCATAGTATTCTGTGTTATAGATGAATCATAATTTCTTTACCTAGTCCCCTATTTATACGTACTAATATAGTTTTCCACCTTCTGGAATATAGCCTAGTACTTATGCATTTCTTTTAATGTAGTTGAAACTAGTCCTGCTAATCTCTCATTTTGCACGTGTGATCACATCTGTAGGATAAATTCCTAGGAGTTCGGAATTCACTAAAGATACATATAGCTTGTCAGGGAAGGGAGCAGAATGGGAGCTCAGCATGGTCTCTGGATGTTCTGAGAACAGTGGGAGCCCCTGGGTTCATAGAGGGAAAGGTACAAGACAGGCTTATTCAGCATCTTCTGCCTGCTGCTCTCCTCTCACCTGATCCCCGAACTCGCCTCTCCACATATTGGGGCAATTCTTCCCATTTTCGAGATGAGGAGCTGAGACCAAGAGCAGAGAAGGGAGTTGGTGATGGTGACACTGGCTTCGGAGCATGGTGACTCTTTGTATGAGGTGGGCACTGCCATCAGACCTCTTCTTGGGAAACCCTTTTCCTTAAAGGTATTTAAATTCTTCATCAAAAACACCAGCACCGCCTGGTACTCTTTTGATCATCAGTTCCCATGATATTCCACTGCAAGTTTTGAGGGTTTGATTTATTTACATGCCTGTTGTCTATATTCCCAACTTTGCTCCTAAATGGAATCATTGCGATTTCAGGCACGTCACTTTATTACTTGTTCCTATACCTAGAACAGACTCTTAGGAAATGGGTGATAAACATATGTTTGCTGAATTCGTGAGTGAATGGATGGCAGGACTTGCCATTTTTCGATTTCCTTTATAGCTCCACTTTTTCTTAATATTTAATTTAGGTTTTATTTTAAAGATTTCCTTTGTATATGCATTGTGCTGTTAATTTATTTTAAATATCCATATTTTAAATATCCCAATCTCTAAATGATTTTAAGTGTTTTCATTGCTAATAAGTAAGCCAATTAAGCACAAATGTGAGCCAACGTCGCACACTAGTGTTACTTTTCAAGTTTTTCTTTAGGTTGTCAACTCCTGGAGGGCAGAGCCTGTTTTCCTTGTTCTTCATTATAATTCCATTGCCTGGGGTAGAGTGTGGACCTGGTTAGTAGCTGGTCAAAATTGTTGGGTGAATGAGTGAATGAATCCATTGAAGATGCAACAAGTGAGTCCATCCATAAATGGATTCATGAGTGAATGATTCAATTATAAATGAATGAAGGACAAAACCCATTAACCAGTATGTGAAAGAACAAATGAATGAATGACGCAATCCATCCATCTGTGAATCAATGAATGATTATGTAACGGAATAATCCGACGAGTGCTGCTGAATGGTAGACTGTGTTAAGCAATGTTTCCAGCAAGGGACCTGGCAATGGAGGGTTGGAGGGGGAATAATCTATGCAGCCTTGCCCCAGACCACATTCATGTCAGTGCCTTGAAAGAGTCAAAGCTTATTTACATGAAGCAGCCAGTTTCTGGACAAGCTCTCACAATGACCCATATCTTCCCACCCAGCTAGGGTTTCAAAGGGAGCATGAACAGGCAGAACAGCTCGGAGGAGGTCTACTTCATCCTGCTTGGGTTCTCCCAGTACCCACGGGCCCAGACCACCTTCTTCTTCCTGCTTCTCATGTCCTACGTCATCACGCTTTTGGGGAACAGCCTCATCCTGCTCCTGATCTGCTCCTACTCCCGGCTCCACACACCCATGTACTTCTTCCTGGGCAACCTGTCCTTCCTGGACATGTGCTACACCACATCCAGCGTGCCCCGGATACTTGTCAACTGCTTGGTGACCAGTCCCATCATCTCACTAGGACAGTGTGTGGCTCAGATGGCTATGGGGCTTTATCTGGGTGTTGTGGAGTGCCTCCTGCTGGCTGCCATGGCTTATGATCGCTGTGTGGCCATTTGTGACCCCCTGCGCTATTCTATACGCATGGGGCCCCGGCTGTGCTGCCTGTTGGCTGGGAGCTCATGGACTGCTGCCTTCCTGCTGACTGTAGTCCCTGTGCTGACCATGCCTTGGGAGTTCTGTGGCCGCCATGTCATCAACCATTTTTCGTGTGAACTCCTGGCCCTGCTCAAGCTCGCCTGCTCTGACCTGCACTTCTACAAGTTGCTCATGTTGGGAACCAGTGCTCTGACCCTGCTGGCTCCTTGTGCCTTCATTGTGGCCTCCTATGGAAGGATCCTGGTGGCCGTGCTGCGGATACGCTCCACAGAGGGCCGTGCCAAGGCGTTCTCCACGTGTGGCTCTCACCTCATGGTGGTCGCCCTCTTCTATGGCACGGCCATCTCCATGTATATGATGCCTCAGGACAAAACCATACGTGACAGAGATAAGATAATCTCCATGTCCTATGGAGTCCTCACCCCCATGCTGAATCCCCTCATCTACAGCCTGCGGAACAAGGACATAAAAAGGACCTTTAAGAGGCTCTTGGGGAAGAAGATTGACCCCTAAGGTGTGGTGCTGAGGGGAGGAGAAATAAATTCATGTTTGAATTTCCTACTCTGGGCTGTGAACTGTGAGTTATTTGTTGGCAACAATTCTATGGAGGGTGTTTTATACACACACACACACACATACACACACACACATTTTTAAAAAGTGGTCCTATGCTATCTCCTTTGAGGAAGTGAACAGAGAGCTTTGGCTCAGAGTGTGTGTGTGTGTGTGTGTGTGTGTGTGTGTGTGTGTGTGTGTGGTGTCAAGGAGACTGTCCCAGAAATTCTAAATGGCTGAGAGGGAAAAGGGATGAATGGACTTATTATTTATTATTTGTTCACAGCCTGCCCTGTGCTTGTCCATTCCAGGCCCTGCTGCTGGGAAAGGAGGAGTGGGGACCACAGTCCTGAGCCCTGCTGTCCCTACAATGGACTAACATCAGCCGCTGGTCCTGAAGAGGGAGAAGAAGGGAGAGAAGGAGGGAAAGGAAGGGGAAGCCAGGGGAAAAGTTAGGGAGGATGATGGGAGATGCCGGGAGAGAAAATGAGGGAGGTGAGGGGAAGAACGATGAGGCAGAGGGACAGCACGAGAGGAGGTGAAGAGACTATTAGAGAAACCCGTGGGGAGAGGGGAAACTGAAGAGTGTAAGGGTCACAAGAGTGGTAGGGAGGGAAGGAGGAAAGGCAGCCAAGAGAGGAGACAGAATGCATGAAAATGAGGGTTAGGCAGAGGAAAAAGAAGGGGGGAAACGTGGAGACAAATAAAGCTAGAAGGGAAGCAGAAAAAGGAAAGAGACTAAGGAAGGAAGGGAGGGAAGAGGGAGTGAGACAGGAAATGACAGACTCAATGAAGGGATCCATAGCAGGAGACATGGGCAGGATGGGGGGTGGCAAACAGAGAATATAAAGCAGGGAGAAATAGAAATGAAAAAAAAATGTGGACTAGAGAAGCGAAGGACAGAGCAAGAATAAGAATGGATTGTGATACCCAGAGGAAATGCGAAAGAGAGGAGTGGGGATGAAGAGAGGGAGGAAGTGCTGCCAGGAGCCCTGACACTGTGTGGGTCCTGAGCTCTTGGAGGAGAGCACCTTCCTACCGGCATGATGGACAAAGGCACCTTGTGACTTAATGCTGGGGGTTCACAGAGTCCTGAAGCATACCTGCGGACCTCAGGTTAGTAGTGCTTGCTTGGTACATGGAGTGGAAGAGGAGATTTCAACAATGGAGGAATATGACAGGAGAGTGGAGAGAGAAATGCATGGAGAGCAGAAGAGGGGAAAGAAAAGCTGGCAGACCTGGGCGGAGTGGTGTGTAAAGGACCTCTGAGCTTATGTTTGGGTGTGGGGGTGATGGCCCATGGGGGAATGGGCTCTGTGACCCCCACATACACACACATCCCTGCCACATGTGAGAGCAAGGGAGCAGTAGAAGACTAGCAAGAGAGATGAAGACAGAAATGAAATAAAATAGGAGAGAGAATGCATTTTACCAAATCTCCCAAGTAATTAATAAAGCAATTCTTATACAAAATATTACAGAAAATAGAAAAAGAGAAAGTTACTTAACTTATTCAGGCATGGATAATCTTGATTGACAACTGGTCAAAAGATTGATAGTTGATCTACCTTTCATTAGGCATGGTTAATTTTGATCTGATAACCGGTCAAAAATAGTATAAAAAATGTAGTGTAAGAAAAACACATCGTGAATGTGAAACAAAAGTTATAAACAGGGCCAGCTGAGTGGCTCAGTTGGTTAAGAGCGGGAGCTCTGAGCAACAGTGTCACCAGTTCAATTCCCACATAGGCCAGAGAGCTACGACAGAGCTGAGCTGCCAACAGGTGGCAGGATGGCTCAGCTGGTGAGAGCATGAGCTCCTAACAACAAGGTTGCCAGTTTGACTCCCGCATGGGATGGGGGATGGGCCCTCCACAACTAAGACTGAAGGACAACAACTCGGTTGTTCCCCTCCCCCAATTCCCCAGTAAAATCTTTTTAAAAAAGTTGTAAATAAATTTTTAATTAAAGAAATCCAGTATTCTATCAAGATATTTATACAACACAAAACAAGTAACGTTTATCCCAGTGATGCAAAAATAAAGTCTTCAATATTACTGGAATGGCATAGAGGTGACTGGTTCTAAAGTCAGACACTCTAGGTTTGAACCCCCACTTGAAGAGACAGGAAAGGAATAAAAACATAATAATGCGTGAGAGGCAGCAATATATCCATTCATTCAACTTTCCCAACCCTGCAAGATGGCTTTCAGTATCCTAACTTTAACCCTTTCACTGTGTTAATTGATTTCAAGTTTTTTTCTCCAAAATGTGTCAAAAAGCCACAAAAAATAATTACAGTATTTATATTTTTAAGTAAATATAGTTAAGGTGCTACATTTTATGAAAATAAATGATATTTTAAAGTATAAAAATTTCTTATTGTTATTCATTCTTGAAAAACACAAAAATATAAAAAAAATGTACATGTGCTTTCCTAAACTTCTTTTTTGGAATATTGACAAGATTTTTTATAGTTCCAGCTCATGGAGTTAAATCGAACGCCATAGTCAGCTCACGGAAATATCATTGGACTATAGTCGACCGTCTCAGCGAAAATTAAGAGAGGAAAGTCAGGTTCGCAAAGGTAGGAGTTACGTCCCCAGAGTCACACAGGTGGCAAGCAGCAGCGACAAAGTTGAGGCAGAGGAAGGGAGTGCAAGAGAAAAACAGTGTTGCAAAAAGAAAGGGAAAGGGCGAAGAAGAAGGAAAAGGGAATGGAGACATTGAGAGCACCAGAGAGATGGGGGAGAGAGAAAGGGAAAGGAACACCGACAGACGGAAATGGGGGGAGAAGGGAGATGAGAAAGAATAAACCCAGGAAAAGGATCAGTGCCGACACCCCCAGCCCCAGAAGTGTATACAGTGGAGCCTCACAACTGCGTTTCTCCCCGAGGATGGACCCTGCTGCCTGAAATGAGACGGGGACCTCAGCCTTCGTAGAGATGGGGCCCTGGGCTCTGACACCCCCGCGGCCCCTGCATGGACGCCAATCCTGATGGCGCGGATCGTCCTGGACCAGCGGCTGCACCGGCAGTGGACCCCTGCTCGCGCATCTGGCGCTGCTAGACCCGCGTCCGTGAGCACCACGCTCCGGCGGGCCCCGGTGCCCATGCTGGCGCGCCCTGGGGCCCATCTCTATGTGGGGACCTTCCCTGGGCGACTGCGAGGCCATTCTCCTGGCCGCCAGGGCGCTGGCCCGCAACCTGGTTGTGTGCCACCCCTGCGCTACCGAGTCATTAGGATGCCTCCTCGCTGCGCCGCCCTGGCCACCACCACCAGGGCGCTGGGCTTTCTGCTGTCCGTGCCCAAGGCCTTGTGCCCCGGGAGGCCCCCGGTGGACCAGTTACTGGGCGAGCTGCCCGCCGAGCTGAGGACAGGATGTGCAGGCACCACAGTCAACCACAGGCGGGTCTATGACTTGGGTGCACCCACTTTCTGGGCGCCTTGGGCCTTCCCCCTGCCTTTGGCGCCTTGCCTCTGGCGGCTCTGCGCACGCTATCTTATTCCAGGAGACGCCTGGACGCTCTGTCTTTCTACTCCTGGCACCTGGCCGCTGTGGCTCTCTCCTACGGCACGGTGACCCCGCCATGTACCAGCGCCCCCAGAGCTCCAGCGCCCTCCCAAGTGCCACAAGCTAGTGGCCAAGTTTTCTATCTTGTCAGCACGCCTGTCCTGAATCCATGCTTCTGCAGCCTTCGGAACCGCGAGGTCCACGCCTCACCCACTTTGCCCGGCTGCTGGGGTCGCGACCTGCCCCACCCAGGCTGATAAGAGCAGCTGGAAACACAGAGCTGGGGGCTGACACTGAGCTCTGTGACCGCGCCCACGTCACTATCTCTCCGAATGTCCGCGCACCCCTTGGAGCGTGCTGTCTCTGTGACTGTGTGCAGACGTCAGAGGCCGCCAACATTTTTTATCAAAGGCCAGACACTAAATATTGTCAGCTTTGCCAGCTCTTTGCTGTGACTGTTCAGCTGGGCCATTGTAGCCTGAGAGCAGCTACGGGCAATACGTGAACGAGTGAGCATGACTGTGTTCCCAAAACAGCCCTTTATATAAAGAATTCGAATTTTATTTAATGCTCATGTGTCACAAAATATCCCTTTTTTTAATTTTCTTTTTGACCATTTAATAACGGGAAAGCCATTTTTAGCAATGGCTCTAGTTTGCTGACCCAAATAGAGGACAAAAGACTGGCCCCATAGAATCATTGTCAGGATGAAAAAAGTAAGGCATGCTAGGCATGGACTTTCATGGTTTTTGGACCCTAAGCCAATGGAAGACACTCATTTTTCATTGTCACCCAGATATAATAGGTGACACTTATCTAGAATTTGTTATGTGCCAAGCATTTTTATAAGGGGTTTATACACATATTATAATACAAGGTGAAGAATAACTTTATGAAGAAAATAGTATTGTGATCTTCACTTACACATTTAACAGCTGAGAAAACAAAGGCACAAATAAGTTAGATAATATGTACCTTTAGTAAGGGGTGAGTGATGGTCAAACAGGTTCCAGAGTCATTTATGACAATGTGGATGGACCTGGAAGGCATTAGGCTAAATGAAACAAGCCAGACACAGAAAGACAAATACCGCATGATATCACTTATATGCAGAATCTAAAAAACATCAAACTCATAGAATCGAAGAGTAAAATGGTGATTGCCAGAGGCTTGGGGTGGGGTGGGGGAAATGGGGAGATGTTGGTCAAAGAGCACAAGCTTATCACTATGCTATTCATTATGTTTTCATATATACAAGGTGTGATCAAACAATACAGTGAATGTTTAAATAAAAAATATTATTACAGTAAAAGACACATTGCCATTAACCCCCCTCAAAATACTCCCCCTCGTTTCAATCACACTTATCCCATCATTTTTGCCACTTTTGGAAGCAGTTCTGGACGTCCTCTTTCGTGAGTGTCTTTAGTTGCACCGCCCTGGC